AACCCTCAGACAGTGACATCCCCTACATAAATGCAGTGCAACCATCAGATAGGAAATTCACAGGGATAAATTACTCCCATCCAGCCCTCAGAGTCCATCTGAGCTTTGGCAGGTGGGCCAGTGCAGTACCTAATACCAGATGACCCAGTTTATAATTGTGCACTGCATTTACTTGTTGCATTACTCAAATTTTGAAGTCAGATTTTGATATTCTGATCAGAATGTTTGAACGATTTGTGGGTAGTCCTTATAGATGAAACATTCTTCTCTTTTGATGAGTTTTTTTAATGGAGGTAAAATGTAGATGATGTAAATTTTTCCATTTTGATCATAAAGTGTAGGTTAGTGGCATTAACTGCATTCATATTGTGCACCCATCACCACCTCAATTTTCAGAAGTTTTTCATCATCCTACATAACTCCTCCTCTCTTGCCCTCCAGTAACCTCTGTTTCCTCTGTATGTAAATTTATCTGTTTTAAGAACCTCATGTAAGTGGAGTCCTACAATACTTGTCCTTTGGTGTCTGCCTTATTTTGCTTAACGTAGTGTTTTCAAAATTGACTCATGTTGCAGCAGCCATGTCTCTTCATAAGACAGAATGATTTTCCATTGTGTGTATGCACCACATTTTGTTGATCTCATTATGTGTTGATGGACACCTGGTTTGTTTTCACCCCTTGGCTGTCGGGTATAGTGTTGCTGTGGGTCTGCATTCAAAAATACCTCTTTGAGTCCCTACTTTCAGTTTTTGGGGGTCTGTAATTAGGAGTGGAATTTCTGGGTCACATAGTAATTGTTGCACTTTTTGAGGAACCACCAATTTTCCAGAATTTGTTTTTATAACATAAGAAGGAACTTCTACTTCTAGCTGTGATGGAATAAAAGAATGTAGATGTAATCCTTTGTCTTAAAGAAAAAAGACAGAAACTAGACAAAATGCATGAAACATTTTGTATTAGTCATTGAATGACTGGCAGTGGAAATCACTCCCATATACCTCATAATCAAAAATTATGAAAATAAATGCTAATGAAAATTATGTAAGAGCTCCTAGAGAAGAAAGATAATTATTTACAGAAGAACTAATAAAAACTTTTTGTCAGAAAATATGCAAAGCAGAAGGGAATATGGAAGGAGAATGTTAAATTGCTAATAGAAATCTTCAAGTTAGAATTGTGTCCTCAAGAATATATATTTTTAAATATATGTGAATTAAAGAGTTTTGTTGTGCAAACAAAAGCTGAGATGATGCATTGCAAACAAAAAAATATGTGGACTACAGCTAATTCAATGCTAAAGGAGCCGTTTAATGCTTTGAATAGCAATATTAAAAAAGAAAATTCCTTGACCAGCAATCGAATAAATCAAGTTATGAAGCTAGGGAAGGGAAAGCAAATTAAATTCAAAGAAAGCAGAAAGAAGGAATTAATCAAATAAAAATGGTTATCAATAAATTTAGAATAGAGAAAATACAAATTGTAAATATTAGAGATAAATGAGGAAACATCACTATATAATCTTGAAACATTAGTAAAATAACAATTGTATATTAACAAGGGAATATTATGAAGAATTTTTTGCTTGTCTGTTTGTCAAATTGACATATTTTAGGAATTGCCAAAACTGGCTACAGAAAAAATGGAGATCTCAATCATTTATTCTATATCTGTCAAAGAAACTGAATTTCACTGGTGAATTATAGCAATTATTTAAGGAAGAAAATAATGTTCTTGCTGTACATATTTAAAAGAGTGAACATTACCTGACTTTTAAGGCCAGCATTTCCTTGATACTAAAAATAAAAACATTACAAAGAATCTATAGACTAGTATTCTGTATAAACATAGAAACAAAAAAATCATTTATAAAATCTAAGCAAGTTGAATCTATAAATTCACAAAAAGTTAATGTACCGTGACCAAGTGAGATTTATCTCAGGAATGCAAGGTTGGTTTAACATTTGAAATGATTTTAAGTCACCATATTAGGAAAGCAAAGGAGACTGGTATGATGGCATATGCCTGTGGTCCCAACTACTTCCTGGAGACTGAGACAGGAGCATTACAAGTTGTGGCCAGCCTGGGATCCCTAACGGCCTCCCCCTAGAAAAGAGCAACTGTATATACCATATGAGTGTATCAATACATGCAGAAAAGTATTTGATAAAATTCAGCAACTATTCTAAAAAATTTTTTAAACTTTCAACAAAGTAGGAAGTAAATTTCCTGAAGCTGATAAATGGCATCTAAAACTCACAATTATCATAATTAATGATACTAGACTGGATGTTTTTCTCCAAAAATCAGGGTCAAAGCAAGGATTATCATTCCTTTTCAACATTGTCCTGAAGATCCTGTCCACAACTAACAAAGCAAAAAAAATTTAAAGAAGTATATTTACCTTTATTCACAGATAGGTATGACATAGAAAACCTAAATAACTTTTAAAAAGAGCAATTAGAACTAGCAGAGGAATGGAACAGAGTCACAAAGTACAAAGTCTACACAAAATAATCAACTTTTTTTCTGTGCACTACCACTGTGCAATTGGAAAATGAAATAAAAATTCCCATTCACAGCAGAATCAGAAAAACCCAAAATTGTCAAGATGAATTTACATGAAAAACTTGTGTACTAAAATCTAGAATACGCTGAAGAAACCTTAAACAAAGGGAGAAGTGGGCCATATTCTTCAGTTGGAGAGCAGAATGTTGATGAGATTTTACTTTTCTTCAAATCAATCTATAGCTTTAGGGAAAGCCTACTAAAATAACAGGCTTTTTAAAAAATAGCTACTCATAAAAATCTATATTGGAAATGCAAATGATCCAGAGTTGTTTTCAAAAAGGTAAGAGCTGGAGAACACTCACTGCCACATTTTATCACTTTTGTAAAGCATAAACCATGTAGTATTGACGCGTCAGGTTTATATATCAGTGCAACAGAATTAAACATTCCAGAAGCAGACCCACATATGTATGGCCAACTGAATTTCTATGAAAATGGCAGCACAGCTCAGTTGGGAAGGGCTAGTCATTTCAACAACTGATCCTGCAACAGTGGCAAATCGTATGGGGGAAGAGTGGAACTCAGTAGACATCGCATCTACAAACAAAAGTGAATTAGCTCTAACTGTAAAAAGCGAGAACTGAAAACCTGCTAAACCAAAAGAGGAGAAAAGCTTGGCTCATCTGGGCCAACGGACTACCTAGCTGGTCTTGCTACTGAGTTAATGAGTTTCTGTGTTTTGCTCCTAGAGTCTCTTGGTCTGTGGCTTACCTTTTCAGTCTCTGAACTGTGCCTTTCACGTAACAAACACTTTACATTGTCTTGTCATCAACACTTTATCACTTCTATGGCTTTTGGTGTTATAGATATGTGTTTTCATTGAATATACAGGCCAATTTGGGGAAAAGACAAGGGTTTCTTAGGACACAGAAAGCAAGAACCATCTTTAAAATTGGGGGCTAGGGATATAGCTCAGTGGTAGCTTGCCTAAGATGCATAGGGCCTGGGTTCGATACCCAGCACCACCACCAAAAAAAAAAAAAAACTAATTAGATGAGTAACACAATTTGTAATCTCTGCTGTTTGACAGGGATTACTAATAAAATGAAAAGTCAAGCCACAGTTTTGAAAAAATAAGTGCAATTCATGTATCTGATAAAATATGTCTATCTCATGTATAAGTTCCAATGAGAAGATAATTCAATTAAAAATCAGTAAAATTCTAAACAAATAACTTCATGGAAGAACATAGACAAATAGCCATGAAGCGCTTCTGCAAAGAGTATGAAGCCTTGCCATTCTT